ACCACGCTTAAAATAAAGCTATAACGAATTACTTATGACCATTTAAAGCAAATCTGGATTAAAAAACAAACAAACAAACAAAGCCTTACCATCCAGCAGCCAAGTTGGTGTGGAAAACAACGCGGCGCGGCTCAGCGCAACGTATGGCGCGTTGCATGGGAAGCGTGCCTGGTGCTTGTGGACTGGTGATGATGCTTGGCACGCACGTGGCCGGCGTTGATGGCGTCATCTGGCGCGTACGGCTCACGTGTCGCCTTTGGGGATGTTTTCTGGTCCAATTTTGGTATTGCGGGACTCTATTTTTCAAAATAAAAATAATGATAATCTCAAAAATGACATTTAACAAACACAAGTGATGAGGTGTATTACACTCTCTCTCTCTCTTTAATGAGAGTAGAAGTACAGAAACTCTATACTTCATCTTCTTCCTTAAGCCATCAAAAATTCAAAACAAACCCAATTTAGGGTTTGATTTTTCTCATCAACCGTAAGTCCAAATCTAACAAATAATATATGATTTCGAAGGTCTCGAAACAAAGATTCTAAATATGTAAGAGTTGTAGATTGAAATTAAAGCATGTAAAATCATCATAAAAAAAATACAAAATTGGTCTCTATTTTTCTTGAAATCTAATCGTTGGATTTTCATGAAACTTTGCAGATATATTCTACATAAAATGTACTATAAAATATGTAAATTTCAGGTTGATCGGACAAAGTTCAAAAAAAAACATTAATTTTCATGCATATATCATGTATACATATATCAATAATTATATACATATTTTAATTCATAAAAATAAGCACAAAAATACCCAATAAGTAAGTCTGATACCAATATAAGATACAGATAACGCAATGAGTAAAAGGATTCAAACCATACCTTATGTGATAGAATCTAAAACGAAGAACCTTGTGGGTAAATCACGTGATTCACAACCACGAACTAAGAACACCCAGCAATGGAGTGATACCACAGTATGAGTATCACCCACTCTAGTCACAGTGCAAAGGCTTAATCGTTATTCTAATGGGAGAGAGTTAGAGAGAGCATGGGAAAAATTAATTCGTTATTCGATTTATCCCACATCCCATATATCGTTTCTGATATATAGGTTGACCATCTAACCATCTATCCATATCTCTTGATAAGATATGATAGATATAGATAGTGATAGTGGGCTATCCAAATAGGATAGTCATGAAAATTCAAATTCAAATTACATGGGTAATTTGAATGGGTCATGCCACATGGGCGCCGAAATCCAGGTCCAATACCCAGCCCAATTTCTAACATTTCTCTTTTCTATTTTCTTCAGGTCTCTATGTAATACATGGAGTTGGGGTGGGGCTTGTAGTGGTTTTTATCACTGTTTACCAGATAGGACAAACTAAAGTAGTTGTACAATCTTATAGTGAAGTGGAAAATTTCAATATTTACCATATGCTATAATGGGGAGTAGTACTGTTGGCATCAATATAATTCTAAGACTAGGAAACCTTCTGGTTTCATCCATTTTAATTTTAAATTTTTTATTATTGCATGATATACCAATTAGCAAAGAACATACAACTTCAATCACATTAGTGAAAAGTGTTTTTTAAGCACCACATGATACTGCTCCAAAAGTATCAAATAACTTTTAATATGGACTACATCCATTACTAAATGTGTGTGATGTTTTCTGACCACACTGCCAAACAGGTACTCAGTTGGAGAACACTGGTAGAATAGATCACGCCCGAACAATTTTAAAATTTTTATTATTACATGATATACCAATTAGCAAAGAACATACAACTTCAATCACATTAGTGAAAAGTGTTTTTTAAGCACCATGTGATACTGCTCCAAAAGTATCAAATAACTTTTAATATGGACTACATCCATTACTAAATGTGTGTGCTGTTTTCTAACCACACTGCCAAACAGGTACTCAGTTGGAGAACACTGACAGAATAGATCACGCCCGAACAACCTATCACAGAAAGAAAAGACTCCAGCGGTGGTTCGTCCACCTGGGGGCACTCCGACGATCAAGTCAGTACTTAATTATCTCTCAAAAATAGTAAATAATGCTTTTACTCACTAGTCAGAATACAAAAAGCGTACCTTAGACCCATGAGGGTACCTTACTTTTATAGTCAGCACTAACCTGATCCCTATAGAAGCCTAGCTTCCCTTGGACTCTGGCCCAATGCTCATCCTAGACTCTCCATTAGATCAAGATAAACTCCTAAGAGCTTTATCCTTATCCAAGCTGAAGTCCTCCCCCTTTTTAGGACTCTTTATAGCTTATCCGTTTATCTAGGATTCTGGCAGTTTCGCAGATAACCTTAGCCTAGCCGAGATCACCGCGGCATCAAGACCAGGACACGTGGTACCTCGGCTGGCACTTCGGTGCCACCTTGGCCACGTGTTGTTATTCAAAAAATAGGTCCCCACAACTGCCCCCTAAGTTCTATTACCTCGGCATCCTGAGGCGATGGAACCTATATCATTTAAACCATATAGCACGTCAGCAAAGCTTACTCTATCCTTCATTACCGAGGTCATTATATGTCGGCTCTCTATGACCAAGACTTGTAGTCTGTTTTGTTAATGCCTTAGAACCAAGAGCCAAGTGTTTCCAAGTTCTTTAACCGAGATCGTTCCCTTAGTCGAGGTCTTTGCTTTATTAAATCAAGAACTCCAAGAGTTTCTACACGTGTATGAGCTGTCACACACAGTAACTCAACCGTTTTCGCCACGCATCTCTTCCTTATTGAACCGTACCTGACACGCGCCATCAAGTCGCGTCGTTTTTGCCTGCGAGCCTGACAGGCACGTTGTCTTAGGCACATTCAATACCATTTTGTCGCCTTTTCGTGTTTTGATCAAAAACACTGCTCTTTCTTCATCTTTTCACTTTCACATCTTCGTCTTCTCCCAAGCTCTCTCTCTCTAACTTTCCCTCAAACCCTCCATTTCTGTTCTCGCGAAGCTTTCTGCAACTACTTTCATTCTTCCACTCCGACAAGGCTTTCAATGCTCTGCCACTTGCACCACCATCGTTCAACTCCGGCGTACCTCACACCGGTGTCACTTCCTCTAGTAAGTCGTTGTTTTCCCTCTTATCAATTTGTGTTTTTCCTAAAAAACTCCACTGCATTATTTGCTGCCATTGCGAACCTGTTCATGTTCTTGATTGTTAATTCGTGTGTTGAATCCTACCATGTATTGAGCATGTTTGTTTCATGATTTTGTTCTGTCTAATCTCTTCCAAAGTACACACACACTGCTCACATACTTGTCTATTTTGCCACTATTCTTGGCCTTGTACACATTTTGTCACAGTGTTCTTTGAATTCTTGCTCGTCTTTTTGAGTCTGAATTACTGTTGTTTTCTGTTTTCTTGTTGTGTTTTCCAGATTTCTGCCTTCAATTCTTATTTGCATAGTCTTAGGTTTTGGGATTTGTTTTAGAACTCCTATCCTTAGGAAAAATTGAAACGAATTCCTCCTAGATCTTGAAACCCTTTCCCCAGTTTCTGTTTTTTAGTTAAGCCGAGGTCCACTCAAACCCAGATAAAACACTTCCTTCTGAAATCCAACACAGCCGACATCATGGGTATGTTTAGGTGGAGGATAGACACCCCTGCTAAGCTAGAATACTTTAGGCAAGAGTTCTCCATCCTTGCCGACGTTCATCTCAGGTTAGCTGGGGAGGAGGACTCCATCATGCCCAAAGATGATTCCATGCCCTTCCTAGTAGTAGCCTTCATAAAGTGTGGACTTAGGTTCCCTCTTGACATCCTCTTCCGAGAAGTCATTCACTACTATAAACTCAACCCAATATAGCTAGCCATTAACTCTTACCGAGTCATTAACGATATAATTGCCATAGCCAAAAAAGAAAACGCTAGGATTACTCTAGCCGACATCCAGTACTGTTACACCATGTGCGGCCTGAAGTCAGAAAATGGCTATATCTATTACCTTAAGCCGAGATCCACAGAATAAAAACTTGTCGCCGACCTCCCAGACTCCAACAAGGGTGCTGGAGACGATTATTTCATCGTCTCGGCCAACTGGGAGTTCCCACCAGATAATGACCTTCACCTCTATCCTTTAAGCCGAACAATGTTCAGAGAGGGAAATGGTAAGAGCCAAGTGTCACTTTACTCGCTTTCGAGTCTTTTATTATTTCTGATACTTTTGTATGTTCTAACGTCTGTTTATTTTACTTTGCAGTTCTTCCTCAAACACCAAACGACTTCTGCAAAACATTATATCCCAGCAAGGATTTCAAGAAATTGTTGGGTTTGCCAGTTGACCAGTGGAAAGCCCCTCTGCTACTCAACTACATCCCAACTTATAAATCCATTTTGCCCGACGTCCCGAAAAAGAGCAAGTCCCCTCTTTCTGCTACAACTCCTCCTACAACTTCGTCACCTCGACCAGATCAAGCCTCTACATCTGACCCAGCAGAGCAGCCATCAACTTCTGCTCCACAACTTATTCCACCCTCTCAACGCCAACGCCGACATTGAGCTCCACTGCTTGCCCCCGCAGGAAGAACTCGTATCCGGAAACGCCAAAGTTCTGAGGTGTCAGCTTACGACCCAGCAAATCTATCCACAACTTTGCCAGCAATCTGCTTTGGTATAAGGGTCACAATTACTACCACAACCGACGAAATAGGGTGAAAACCTGTAGTAGTTGAAGATTTGCTTGCCAACATCCCTGGTGTTGTTACCGTCCAGTCTTCATCTTCCCCTCAACTAACCCCAAAGCCAAAACGAATGAAAAAGGCCAAGGCAAAGGCCACTGTGACTCAGATCGATTTTGAGGACACTGTGCCCATCTCTAAGTTAGCCGAGGCCGAGAAGAGCACCCCTTCCGCCGAAAAGCGTCCCATTGAGGAACCAATTTCCGAGGCCCCAACAGTCAAAAAGCTGAGGTCTGACCACCAAGAGGGCAGCAGCTATCCCCGAGGCATGGTTTAGGCGCCCGAGATCATGCTTGATGGTAGGCCCCTCACCGTTGGTGATAGTGCTGCAAACCTTGAGATCGAGGCGGCCTTGTCCACGGCAGTTCTTCTGCCCGAGGACATGAACTGTATGGCCGAGCTTCATGAATATGAAGACTTTGCCTTCCTGATGCAGCATTCGGTCTTGGTAAGCATTCTTTCTTCCATTTTGGCAATCTTTCCACACTTAATGAAATTTTGCTAACTTGTGCTACTTCTTTGCAGGCCATCCAGCATGCGCACTCTTACGCCACAAAGACCGAGATGATGAGGAAGGATTTGGCGAAGAAAACAAAAGAAGCAGCCAAACTCCTATCCTCCCTTAACAAAGCTAAGGCCAGCAATCGCGCTCTCATGGACCAAGCCAAGGATGCCAAGACTGCTCAAAGTCTGGCTGAGGAAAAAGCCAAGGAGGCAAAAAATGAAGCTGAGGCTGCAAGAGCCGACCTTGAAGCTGCCAATGCAAAAGTGGCTGATATGGAGGCCAAGCTTCAAGAGGCTCTTGCCAATAAAGAGGCCGAGGTGAAGGCGGCCGACGAAAAGGCCTTTGAAGAGGGGCAGGCCACCGTTCATGACCAATACAAGCAACAAGTTAACTTGGCTTGTAACCGAGGATACTACCTCGGTTGGACGGTGGCCCTTAACAAATTGGCTGTTTCAATGGACTCCGACCTTTGAGACATCAACCAACTCGAGGTGCATTTCCCTCCAGAGCCCGAGAAGGATGTCGAGGATGATGAAGTTGACGAAGTGGATGTGGAGGCTGCCGCTGATGCCAAGTCTCCTACCCTTAATGAGCAAATAGACTTAACTCAAGAGGAAAAGGATGACTTGGCATCCAAGGGCGTCTCTCCCATTCCAACAACTTCTGAAACCGAGATCTATTGTGCCGAAAAGAGTCTAGATAAAACCTTGCAAGAGATTGATGCTGAGCTTGAAGCCGAGAGGACTACAACACTACCCTCTGATCAAGCCAAGTCTAGTACTTAGAATTTTTTTCCTTTTCTTGTTCTATTCCTTCTTAGCTTGTAATATTTCGTTTGAACAATGTTAGTACTACATTTGGCCGGGGTGTCCTTTTTTGTGACTAAACAAGTAATCATTCTCCAGGCCGAAGTGCCTTTTTGCCTTTTGAATGCAAGTATAACTTTTTCTTTCAAGTTTTTGTATGTTTGTTTTCTTTACTGTCTTGTATGATTCCATACTTAGAATAATTTGCATGTTTTCATAGTACCTCTTAACTGTGCAATCTCCTCAGGGTAAAATACCTCGGATATACCCGCTGACTATTTTTCTCGACCTTCGCTTAACACTTGAAAACATTTGTAAAAACATTTTCACAAGTGTTTCCTTAAAACTTGCTACTTCATTTTCACTTATCAAGACTTATGTCTTCAATTATCTCAAAGCTGGGTAATCTGGTCATCTCAGCAACCAGGAACGTACTTCTTTGTAATATTACCTCGGCGTATCTTTAACTTGTAAATTTTTCTAAAATTTCAACAAGTGTTTAAGCCAACTCTTTTCAGCAAGTGTTTATGCCAACTCTAGCTTGTAAAATGTTTGACAAGCCTTCCCAGGCTTTTAAACTATCTTTGTCATTCTCTAAATCTCTGCCCGCTAATGTGAACTTAAGTTTCACTTATGTTCACATTAAGCATGTACGTATAATCTTGTCACCGAGGTCAAATTCAAACAGAGACTGGCCGAGGTTATCAACATCGGTCTATCTGTTAATCTAACTGACATGTATTTAGTATCATTCAAAGTTTTAATTCTGTCGACACAGCAAATCTAGGTTAATCCAACTTAGTTCAACTCCATTATATGCAAGTACAATTTCAACTCTGCCATATAATGAGTCTAAGTTATTCGTCAAGTTTCAATCAGAAAAATCGCCAACTTAGTTCCACTCTATTATATGCATATAATTCAACTCTGTCATATAATAAGTCTAAGTTATTTGTCATGTTTCAAACAGAAACATCACCAACTTAGTTCAACTATATTATATGCAAGTATAATTTCAACTCTGTCATATAATAAGTCTAAGTTATTCGTCATGTTTCAATCAGAAACATCGCCAAAGGACTGGTTAATCGTTTTACACAAGTTTGAAATTTTAAAAAATCGAGCTAAAATTTTGTTATTTACTTCGCGGCTAATAACAAAAGACTTATAAAAAAAAAAAAAAACAAAATGAAATCTTAATGATAGAAAAACTTCAGGTTGCAATTATTCCAGGGTCTTGGCAACTCTTTGCATTCACTATCTTCAAGCCGATATGCCCCATTGCCTAGGACCCAGATGATTCTATAAGGTCCCAATTTGGGCCAAGCTTGCCTTCTTTAGGATCCTTCTTATTGCCGACGACCTTCCTCAAGACGAGGTCACCAACTTGAAACTCTCGTGGGTTGACCTTTTTATTGTAAGCCCTGGCAAGCTGTTACTAGTATGCCCCCTGCTGAATCGCTGCTTTCTCCCTTCTTTCTTCTAACAGATCCAGATCTCGGACTAAGAATGCCTCATTGGTCCCATTTTCTACTCCCTGAGTTCTGATCCTTGGGATGCCAACCTCCAATGGAATAACTACTTCTGTGCCATAAGCCATGGCGAATGGGGACTCCCTAGTTAATCTTCTCGGCGTAGTCCGATATGCCCAGAGTACATTGGGCAACTCATCCACCCACTTACCCTTTGCTGCTTCCAGCCTCTTCTTAATCCCATCCAAGATAGTTTTGTTGGATGCTTCTGCTTGTCCATTGCTTTGAGGGAAGCTTAGAATGGAATAGTAGTTCATGATTTTGTACTTTGTACATAAGCTCTTGATTAGCTTATTGTCAAACTGTGTACCATTGTCTTCTATTATCGCCCTTGGGATCCCAAACCTGGTGATGATGTTCTTCCATATAAAGTTCTTTACATCAATGTCCCGAATCTTTGCAAGGGGTTCAACTTCTACCCACTTAGTGAAGTAATCTGTTGCCACGAGCAGGAACTTCCTTTGTCTAGTTGCTTGAGGTATTTGTCCAACAAGATCCATGCCCCATTGGACAAATGGCCAAGGGCTGGATACTGGGTTCAAATCCACTGCTGGTTAGTGTATCAAAGGTGCAAACCTCTAACATTTCTCACACTTTCTGACATAAGCTTCAACATCTTTCTGCATGTAAGGCAACCAGTATCCCTGAGTAATGGCCCTATGAGCAAGTGACCTGCCCCCAGTGTGGCTCTCACATACCCCTTCATGTATTTCATACAAGAAGTCTTCAACTTGTGAAGGATGCACACACCTCAAAAGGGGACCAGTAAAAGATCTTCTGTACAGATGCCCTTCTGCTGTCAGACTGAATCTTGCCGACTTCAGTCTGATTTTGTGTGCTTCTTTATAATCATTTGGCAGTTTTCCATCCCTAAGGAATACTATTATCGCATCCATCCAGCTTGGTCCCATCTCCACACACATTGCCTTATGCTCTGTGTTCAGTGGTTCAACACTTGGACCTGACAAGTAGTCAACCATAATTGTCCTTGCCTCTTCTGGTTTCATTACACTAGCCAGGTTGGCCAAGGCATCAGCATGGCTGTTGTCATCTTGGCTAACTTGCTATAGTCGGCAATTTTGGAATAATGTTATCAGTCTGTGTAGACACCCCATTTTTGACCGTCCTCAAGACTTGGACGTCACCATTGGAACACTTGGTGATTACCCTTGTTTGTGTTCGTTGGGAGTTCCCGGAGGTCTCGGCTACGCGCCTTGCCTCAGGATCTCCAAACTCGACCGTTTTGTGTCTGGTTTTGCACCAAACACTTGTGTTTTGCCTTGGAGGGGCAGGGAATGCCTTGTGAGGCATCCCCACACATATTTTTGATCTTTGGATGGTCGGCACTTTTTGTTGCCGGTCGGCACTCTCTTTTGCCAAAATGGCATTTTTGGCCGGCCGACTACTGTGCATCTGCTTTTGCAGATATTTTGTCACAGCTGTCTTGCATTTGGCTCCCCTCCATACACGTGTATGGAGGGATCTCTCTCTTTAGAAGCTTGTCTTGTAAGCTTTACAAGACAAAAGGCTCTATAAGAGAGAGCCTTCTCTCTTGGCTTTTTATAGAAGCAACACTTTTATGAAAAGAAACTCTATATTGTTTACCTGCCAAACAATGAACACAAATTTTAAGATACTACCTTTCAAACGGGGTATAAGCTCTTTCTTGAACAAAACTTGCAGCCCCTTTTCACTCATGTGCCCAAGCTGCTTGTGCCACAATTCGGTAAAAGTATCATTCTCAAGTACATTGATAACGTTTTTACAAATTTTTCCTTACCTCGAATAAAGTCTGTGAGTCTTCTTGCACTTAGCTACCACCAAAGATCCCTTTGTGAGCTTCCATTTTTATCACCAAATTTGTTGTTGTTACCTTCATCATCTAGATTCCCGGTAGAAATCAAATTGAGGCGAATGTTTGGAACATATCTCACATCTTTAAGCAACAACTTACAGCCCAAATATGTTTCCAAGCAAACATCACCCATGCCAACAATCTTGGACAAACCTTCATTACCCATTTGAACACACCCATAAACTCCTTTGGTGTAGGTAGTGAAGAAATCAACTCGAGAAGTCACATGAAAAGAAGCACCAGAAGCAATCACTCAATTGCTCTATTGGCCGACAAAATTGACACAATCATTTTCACAAACGACCATGAGATCACCATTAGTAGTCACCGCCATTGTGTCTTCTTACTTTTCATCCACACTTTTGTCACGCCTTTTCTCCTTATTCTTGAGCTTTCGGCATTCTCGCTTCATGTGCCCTTTCGCATGGCAATAATGACACTCAATGTTTTTCTTTGAAAAAGAACCATCTCTTGATTTATCACAACTTTGATCACGACCATGAGGAGTCTTACTCCTTCCCCTTGTTTTGCTTTGGCCTCTCACAACAAATGCTTCCAAATGAGAGGAACCCGCTGATTTTCTTCTCGTTTTTTCATTCAAGAAGCCACTAGTGACTTGACTCATTATGACAACTCCAGTGGATGCTGAATTACTAATTGTCACAACTAAAGTCTCTCAACTTTCGGGCAAAGAACTAAGTAGCATCAAAGCCTGTAACTCATCATCAAAAATAATTTTCATAGAAGCAAGTTGGTTAACAATACTCTTTATTTCATTCAAATGTTTCGGAATGGGGCTGCCATCTTTATATTTTAAATTAACCAACTTACGAAACATAAAAGGTTTATTTGTGGATGATTTTCTATCATAAAGACCTTCTAATTTTTTTCATATATCATGTGCCGAAGTTTCAATAACAACATGATAAAACACACTGTCATCAATCTATTGACGAATAACACCAACAGCTTTTCGATTAAGCGTCTTCTATTCATCATATTTCATACCCTCAAGTTTGCTACTATCACCCTCAATGGGTCCATACAAATTTTTACAAAATAATAGATCCTCCATTTTAGTTTTCTAAGTTATCCAATTGGTTCCATTGAAGCTAGACATACAACTCACATTCTCCTCTATTGATTTACACAAATAAACGAATCCAACTAAATGTAAGCTCTGATACCAGTTGTTAGGGAAAATAGATGATTTTTCACAAGTAAATCAATCAATAGAAATAAAAATTAATGCAAAAAAATTAAATCAATGATGACACAATAATTTTTACCTGGTTCCCTCAATGAGAGGTACGTCCACGGGATTAAAATCTGATTCCACTATCAACCAATAGTTTTCAAACGATTACAAATAAGACACGAATGGTCTCACAAACCACCCCTAGGTGAATTTCAATTAATCACAAATAAATAAGAGAAGAGATCTCACCAAATAAATGAATAAAAATCTTCAAAACAGAATTGTAGAAAATCCAAAATAATAGACCCAAATCAATCTTCACGAAAGCAACCAAATATGCACAAAGACAATGCGTCAAAGCAGCCAAAGAATGTCCAAGCAGCAGCTGAAAAAC